GCTTGTCCATAAAGTACACCCAGGGTCGTAAAGCTAGAATGAAAAAAAAAATGCCCCTCATTGGCTCACATATGTGAATGCTTGGTCCCCTGTTGGTGACTGTTTAGGGAGGTAACACACGCTTGTGGAGGAAGTACATCACTGTGGGGTGGGTTTGAGAGTTCACTATAATCAAGTAACATTTGGTGAAAGCTGTCTGGCTGTCTAATATCACATATGCATGTGCTTGTATATATGCATATATTTATATATACACAGATCTGACATAAATATACACATATGTAAATGCACACTTCTCATGTGTTTCAGATTCATGATTATTTATTGAACTTGGTTTAAGCACAGATTCAAAAGTCTAAAAAGAACACAGAACTGGCATGGGACCAGTGACTGTGGGGGCTGGATGATTTGCATATGAAAGTCTGTTAGACTATTCTGTTTATTCTTAGGTGTGTTTGAAATTTTCTGTAATAAAAGGTTAAGCAAATAATACCAAAACGGCAGATAAGTTCAGCCAACCCACAGATGGGTTTTGGTGTCCCAATAACCAACCTAGATCACAAAATGTTGTATGTGTGAGCCAATGTACATTGTCTTCCAGGGAGATCTGAAACTCTAATTAGATTCTTAGCAGTCTATTTTGCTGAAGCGTTAAAAACAATTGGAGTAAATAGTCTGCTTAACCTTTAGCCAACCTTCTTTAAGGATTATGTCTTGCAACTGATGTTTATAATGGAAATTGGAAAACAGAGATTTTAAGCCTATAATCCCCTGTAAATACAAAGGGGACTTGCCAAGCCCCTTTGTCTGAGGGTTCTTGAAATTATTGCAGCAAAATAACCAGAGCTGAAGAATCGAAGACCCTTTGAGGAAACAGAGTTGGGGGATTGAAGGCTGCAAGAGAAGCTGTGACAATTGTTGCAATATGCTGTAAATGTATTAAAACAACATAATTGGACAAAACATTAAATAAAGGAAGTGAAAGGGATGTACGTGCTCAATGGGTAGTCATACAACTAATTTCCGTTTCGTTTCTGCTTTGGAGAAACTTACTCATCCCCCCATTGAGCTCCGTTCAAATACATTTTGTTTTGCTGCTCATAATAAGCAGCCTAAAATGTTCTCCCCATCCTGCCTCCTGCCCATTGGCATGCCTCAGTCTTGGCTCAAGTGGTCAAGATTGTTTAAAATTTCTCACCAGAAGTTACTGATTTCTACCTCTAAGTCCACAGTGTTCTAGAGATAAAGAGAAGAGAAGCATTTCTTCAAAAATGTTTCTCTGCCCTCTGTATGAAAGGACTTGTGTCTGTGATGGCTTTTCTCAATGTCTAATAACACAGATGACTGCATTAGAAAATGGCTAGTTCCTAGAATGTATATGGAGCAGGAAGCTCTGGGTGTGGTCTCTAGTACCACAGAAAACTGGGTGTGGTGGCAGGAGGGTCAAGAGTTCAACTCTCTGCTACATGGTGATTTGTTGGCCAAGCTAGGATACTTGAGACCTTGTCTCAAAAACAAAAAACAAACACCAAAAGAAAGTGTCAATTTCCCCTGTCACTCACTTTGTCTCCTTTTCTTCTACGAGAAAATGGCTTTTAACTAATAATCAAAAGATCTCAAAATATAGCTAAGTGGTATTGATGATGATGACTAATAATTGTTCTAAAGACTGTGTTTTGCATGTGTTAATTCATGCAATTTATACATCACTCAAATTAATTATGTGAACCTTAGAAACGGGAAAAAGAGACAGGGGTCTTTCGAAGACACCACCGCATCGATTTTTCTGTGGCCTTGGCTCTGTAGGTGCAGAAAAGTTAACTGAGAGATTTGTGTCAAGACACTGACAATTCTTATAATGGAGAGAGTTAGTGGTGTGTGTGTGTGTGTGTGTGTGTGTGTGTGTGTGTGTGGATAATCCTAAAAGTTGTGGTTCATTGCCTTCTTGGACATTAACCAATTTTGCTTCTAATTTAGTAATCTTTTCCTAATGGTTCTTTATTAAATTGTCCGTTAATACCTACTTCTCAAATGCTCTTTGGACCAGTTTAAACATCTTACTATTGTCTCATTAATTTATGAGTTAAACACAGCTCTTGATACATGTTCTTTTTTCCCCCTACCTTTCAAAATTAGATTTTCTAGGTAAGTGTATAAAATAATGGCTTTCAGTATATTTCACATTTTTTTAAACATTTTGAAATTTATACTCTATCACTGTGTATGTGTGTGTGTGTGTGTGTGTGTGTGTGTGTGTGTGTGCAGGTATACATGCCCATGGAAGCCAGAGGTCAACCTTGGGTATGGTTCCTCAGGTGTTTCTACCTTATTTTTTGGAGATAGGTCTATCATTTGCCTGAAGCTAACAAGCATAGCTGGCTGCCCAGTGAGAACAAGGGATCTAGCTATCTCTTGCCTTGTCAGTGCTGGGATTACAAGCACTGGCTACCATGTCTGTTCTTTGTTTATATATTTTTTATTTTTTTACATAGGTTCTGGGGATCAAACTCAGACCCTTATACTCACATAGCAAGCACTCTACTGACTGTGATATTCCCCAGACACAGAAAATGATATGGTAGCCTTGTAGAGCATTGAGGATATCTGGGCTCTGTTGAGGCCAGTTAAGGGACAGCTTTTTTTTTTTTTTTTTTTTTTTTTTTTTTTTTTTTTTTTTTGTCAAAAGAACTGAATTTACCTCTGGCTCTGGATGGAGATATGACATTCTGACCTGCTCCAAAGATTAGAATGTTACATACCATTGTCTTCTTTCTCAAGGGTTAATCCAGTTGAGCCTGCCAACCACCTGGCTAAGCTACAACCTTCCGGCTGATTCACCTAAAGCCATGCTAAAGAGATGGAAGGAATAATTATCTCCTCCCCAGAAATCTTCCTCTTTGTAGACACTTGCTTGCAGAAATTCCTTCACATAGTGCTATAGCCTGTCCCCTCTTCTGAATAACTTAGAAAATATCCTTTTCTTTGTTCTTTCTGCCTTTTTCTTGGAATTATGGCTGGCCTGCCCTGATGTTTTTTTCTTAAAGTCTAACAAATTGTCATTGATCTTTCTTCTCTGCCTGTTTCTAAATTATTTTCTTTTTAAAGATTTAAAATTATTTAATGTGTATGTGTATGTGTGTGTGTGTGTGTGTGTGTGTGTGTGTGTGTGTGTATGCTTAAGTGTATGTGTACATACCACATGCATAGAGATGCCTTTGACAGCCAGAGGTGGGCATCATCTTCTAGAACTGAGGTCACAGGCAGTTGTGAGCTTCAGATGTGGGTGCTAGGCACCAACCCCTGGCAGTTCCTCTGCCAGAACAGCAAATGCTCCTAACCAGGGAACTTTTTCTCGAGTCCCTCTAAATTCTCTTACTAACCAGATTAAATACTTTAAGAGAGAACACCAATTTCCCTGGCAACAACACAACTTTTGAATGATTGTTTACTACTGTATTTTGGGACCTCTAAGAAATTTGTTTGATTTCTTCTCATGTAGTAGGATTCTGAAGTTGCTTTCAACATTTTCCTTTTAAGAAAAAGGATACATTAAATATTTTATGGATAAATACTTCATTATTTCAAGTTATGACAACACAAATGGAATTTCTGAGTCATAATTACTCACATTTAACAACTTCATTCAGAGAATTTGGACCAGTTTATATAGCAGAAACACAGAACATCTATTTCATTTATTTCTCCCTGATTATTTTCAATAAAAGTAACTAATATGTGGTTAAAAGGAGGAATTGATGAAAAAAAGTACCTAATGTTTTGAAGACAGAGATTTTACACATGGGGACAGCTTGCTGAATTACAATGTAGGGTTATGTGCTGATCTGAGAATCAGCCAAGTAGGGCTGGCTGTATGATGCCATAAGAAAATCTAACCAGAGCGCTGGACAGCTGCTCACTCCTGTGTGTAAGAAGGGGTAACGGGTTTTTCTTAGAGCAAAGTTCTGTTCCTTTCATTCTTTTTCCCTGACCTGAAAACAAAACTGAAGCTTTGTGAGATGTAAGTGGAGCCAAACCACAGTTTGTGATGTCATAAACATGGCAGCGTTGATTTCAGTTTGGAAAATTTCATAATATTTTTTAGGACTACCTATGACATTGCACAAATAAAATATGGAATTATAATCAATACTGCATCCTTTGTATACTCACTTTCTATTTTAACTAATATGAAAATTTCCCCAAACTAACTTTAAAAAGAAAGAAATGGGTGAATTTTCAAATATTTTATTAAGTGCATACTTTTTAAAAGCAGCATTGCAATTTCTTTTACCTTATTCATGTAGATTTAATTCATTTTTTGAGACTTCAAAATGTACGTTCTTTAAACTTTCAATTTCCTACGGTCAGCCAAAAACTACTGCTGTGTTATCCCTGCTGCTAGCTATCTTATAAGTATTAAGAACCTTATGAGCTTTTATTTTACTTATTTATTGCAAATAAAGACTTCAATGTGGAACAAAATTGTGACTATAACATAAAGATTGTTTGCATAGTAACAAAGAACTGCTTCTACTTGTTGCTTCAGTTTTAACCCTGAAGGACAGTTTTCTAGGATGCCTCAATACATTTATTGCATGCACTATATCCTATCTATCCTGAATGAGAAACAGCAAACCAGCTTCACTCAAGGCTGTGAAATAGCCCCCATTAAACCAAGGGAGGGCATATGCTGCATTAAGCAAGAGCAATGTGACTCAAAACTGCAACTCTACTGTCATGGCCAACAGCCGTTTGCAGAAGACATTGAACCTTGATCAATTGTTTTTTACCATTAAAATCAATCTTCTGGTTTTACTTTAATATCTAAGAGGCGTTACCAGACAACGGTTGTGTAACTGGAAATTCATTTCTGTCCTAAAAGACCTGAGGAGAGGGTCAGGGTCAGGACAGGAAGGGACAGATGCAGGAAGATCGACTTTGCTGCCTCTAGAAATACATCCAGTGTACTTCCTTCTTGTAGTAGATAGACATTCTAAAACCAAAAGCATGCACAACTGGTCTTCGCCTTCTCACACTTTTCCACTTAAGACTTGGAGCACTCTCAAGGTGGGAGGGGAATAGATGAGTGAGCTGATCCGAACTCACAATCAAATAAACAAACAGGAATAAGCCCATTCAAAGACATGAAAAGTAAGATTCCAGAGTAACTTGGGAAAAACTGGTGATCTCTAGAATTCTTGAGGAAGGTAAGAAATGAGTGGAGAAGAGGTAAAGGAAGTGGTGACGGTCACTGAGGATCCCAGAGAGCATGCTCTTGCCTTCCAAGTGCTGGAACTAAAGGTGTGTGCCACCAACGTCTGGCATAAATGGAATTTTTAACTGGTCTAAATAGTAAAACCCAGAGCATTTCTTCCCACATATATCCTCAGCCATCTTCCAGTCTCTGCCTGGCCATCTCATTTCCTGTCTGTCTATACAGACCTCCTGATCTCTATGGTTAGTTAGTAGCAAGCTCCATCCTCTGATCTTTATACAAGGTTTATTTATATAAGCAAGATATCACCACACAGAATGGCAGATTTGATCAGAAGTTAAAACATCCAGATCAGATTAAGGTTTAAATAGCAAAGAGAGTTGGGAACATGCCAGTGCAGTTTTTTTGGGGGGTGGGGTGGGGTGGTGAATAGCATGGGGTCAGTGAGCAAGCATGTCCTGAAGTTTAAATCCATACTTTTCCTCAACAACTCTTAATTGCAAGTCTTCTGCTGCCCCACTCCCACCCCTGTGCCAATTGCAGGACAACCATGACATTCCCCAGGAAGTCTGCTTTCCTTGAGTAGATATGTGAAGGGATTGGGAGCAGGAGCTTAGAGTTGGTACAGGACACAACCAGATACCAAGTTCTCAGCAAAAAAGGAGATTTAGTACCCCAGAGGGTCAAGCAGGAGCCAAATAATGAATTTTGATAGTTGGACCTCAGTGATCATTCTCAAAAATGAGTCAGTAGCCAAATAAGGTAATGGACCT